CAGACATAACTACAGGAACCAGGATAATGGAAAGGAACCAGGGAGGTAAAGGAAAAGAAAGAACCTGAAAGAGAAGACCAGTAGGAAACACGCCTTAATAAGAGAGGCATGGATAAAAATTGGGTTAATTTAAGGGAGGAGGGAGGGAAGGGTATGCAAGGAACCTAGGGAATAAAGGGAAAGAAGGAGCTCAAGAGAGGTAGACTGTAGGAGAAGGGTATTAGTAAGGGAGAAAGGGGGAAATGGGGGCACCTTAAGTGGGAAAACCATGATGGAGGGGTGACACAATGTGAGAGATAAATAATGCCTAGCTAGTTTTGAAAACCAGAGGGAACCATATTACTCCTACAACCTACTGACAAATTATACATAGCAGATCAAGAAATATATGTCTATGTAAGGTTTATCTCAGAACAATTGGTCTTTGCCCAAGATTTATCTGCATGGCACACAGTAATTAAAAGAACCAGACTGGTTCTTGGATGTTTAACAGACATACTTTGAGTCCTATAATAATTTGGTCAGAGGGACATATAGGACAGTTTTTGCTCCTTGCCCTCCTAGGTTGGCTAGTTGCAGGGGACTATGAGCATCTCTCAAAATGTCCTGTAATTGTGGTGGGTCACCTGTCCTCTTGATCAAGGAGGCCGAGGAGACCCTACCAGATGGACTTGAACCAGTGTCCAGTCTACAAAAAGGAGGAATCATTTCCTCCATGTTTCCAAGTGAAGCCAACCATGGTTGAGCAGGACCTTTGACTTATTTTCACATAGGTGGAACTGGTAAAAGAAAGGAGCCAGGGGCTCCTCCCAAGCTCATGTGACCCCTGAGGAACAGATCCTCAAAGGACCTTAAGAGTAAAAATAATTTTGTTTATCTAGGCCAATTGTATAGCCTTAAACACTCAATAGGAAAGTATAACCAAGGATTAAAGGTGCCAATATAATTTTTAAGGGTCCATATGTATAGCTAAAGTCTACATACCATACCACATAGGAGATACCTTCTTTTGAGTTGTTGGCCAGGGTGGCCAAAGGGACTCCCAGGTAGTAACCCAGCATAAAACTGGGAAAATGAACAGCAGACCCCAATCTTCTCTAAAGGAATATTGACAACTGATTGCTGCTAGATGAGGAACAGCTGACCTTCCTAATGTAAAGACCTCTAGATAGGCTGACCAGATTCACCAGATGGACAAGTACTGGGGAATGGCTGGGGGTGCTGACAACACAGCAGACAGTAGCAGTAGTAGAATTAGGGCTCTAGTTGGGGGAGGGAGGCTATGGGAGGGTGCCATCTGGAAAGTGGGTGTATAGTTGAATAAGATGGTTTGGGATGTTCTGTGTGATATACACACAAAAAAATCAACATATTTTTTAAAAATGAATTATATTTGAGGAGGAAGCATGGAAATTTACATCATGCTAATTAGTAGAGGTGATAAACATTACCATTAAAATCTACCCGATGACTTTATAGAGATAGACAGGCGCCAGGGATCCAAGTGAAAGTGATTATGACTAGTAATAATCAGATGCATACAGATTAGAGATGCATGCACCAACATCTCACTGTTAGTAGCAAAAGAAAAAGTGAGTCTTTCTACAAGGAACAATATATTCTAGAATGAAATGGAGATCTTTTTTAAAGGTTAAAAACTCATTCAATTTTAAGTCTTACAGGGCTTATACTGAGTTCAATATTGTATAACTGTATTGATTCAACAGCGAACCTAAAAATTTTATAGCCACTTTTGGAAAGAGATGTATCTTTGCTTTGGAAACTGTTATTGAGTATGTTAATGCTGTAACAACATGCTTCTTCTAAAAAAAAAAATTAAACGAGCCCTGTAACAACAACAACAAAATGATCAGTAAGGACAGACATCTATCTGCTCTCTCAGAAAGATTTCTGCAGGAGCCATGCCCACCTTTGTGGAACTCAGTACCAAAGCCAAAATGCCTTCTGTGGGCCTGGGTACCTTCCCCAAACCAAGTCAAGGAAGGTGAACATTGATGCCAGATAACGTCACATTGACTGTGTGTACGTGTATTATAATGAGAGTGAGGTGGGAGAAGCCATCCAAGAGAAGATCAAAGGGAAGACTGTGAATCGGGAGGTCCTTTTTATCATTAGCAAGCTGTGGCCCACCTGCTTTGAGAGAAAACTGCTGAGGAAACCTTTCAGAAGACCCTCACAGATCTGAAACTGGACTCTTTGGACCTCTGTCTTATTCACTGGCCACAGGGATTTCAGTCGGGTGGGGAAGGGGAGGAGTCATTCCCTAAAGATGACAAAGGCAATGTTCTCACCAGTAAAATAACATTCTTGGATGTCTGGGAGGTAATGGAAAAACTGGTGGATGAGGGATTAGTGAAAGCCCTGGGTGTCTCCAACGTCAACCACTTCCAGATTTGTTTCTGGAACAAACTTGAACTGAAACATAAACCAGTGACCAATCAGGTTTGAGTGCCACACATATCTCACCCCGGACAAACTGATCCAGTACTGTCACTCCAAGGGCATCATTTGTGAAAGAGAGGTACCCTTGCTCCAGAGTGTGTTACTGAATATGTTAAAGCTGTAATGAAATGCTTCTTCTACTCATGTAGTTATTAAAATTTTTAATTAATTAATTAATTAATAATACATTGAAAAAATAATATGGAAAGTAATTGAGGAAGGTATTTGGCCTCTACAGACAGTGACACACATATGCACACACAGAAGCATGTACATACACACACACACACACACACACACAGAAGATGAGGAAGAGGAATTTGGATCCTAGTGACAGGAACACAAAGGAATAGTGAATCAATAGCCATCACAGTGGATGGTTTACTGTATAGTAATTCAGTTGAAAAGCAATTATTAGATCAAAGAATGGATTTTTATCTAGTGATAGGAATTTGTCCTTTAAAATAAACATGAGAGAAAAGGGAATCATAGCTTAGGGAAAAGAAATTTCTGGTGTTCTTACTTCAGAATCTTAACAGTTAGAAAAGCAGGTGAGATGGCTCAGCAGGTAAAGGGGCTTGCTGTCAAGCCTGAGGACCTGAGTTCAATCCCCAGGTCACACATGGTGGGAGACAATCAGTTCCCATAAGTTGTCCTCTGATCTTCACACATGCACCATGGTTTATGCAGGAAAGTAGGTGAGACTTAGATCATGCCATTTCTATCTACAGGGGAAAAAAGGAGAAAAACTCATCTTCTAGGTAACTAGAAGGAGGGATGGGACAGAGGGATGATGACAATGACAGGCAGGGTTGGGGGACATGAGACTCAAGCAGATCTTATTTGTTTTCTAGCTTGGGGTATCATAAGGCTGAATCCTTTGCCATCTGGATTCTTATGTGCCTCTAGTTATATCTTTTAGCAATTGTAATGAAACAGATGAAAGACTTTTTATGTGTATGAGTGTTTGCCTATATGCAGTTATATGCATCACATGGGTGCAGTGCCTGTAGAGGTCAGAAGAGGTGATTGGACCCCCTGGAACTGGAATTACAGGCAGTTGTAAGCTGCCTTTTGTGTGATGGGAACCGAACCCAGGTCCTTTTAAGAACACCAAGTACTTTTTTTTAATGCACATAAAATATATGTACAATTGGTTAAAATACTTACATTTGTAAAACAAAATTACAGAATAATAGTGCTCTGAAACAGACAGTGGAATATTCATATAAAGGAGATTGCCAAATAGAGTAGAAAATATCAAGTCTTTAAGAACTGGCTGCTGACTTTTAATGCCAGGAGATAGTACTCTTAACTGTTGAGCCATCTCTCAACCCCAAGACTAAAATTTTTATGTCTATGTGATGGTTAATGTATTAACTCATTTGATCTCCCTACCACCGTTTTATGTGGGTAGAATGCCCACGGTGATGAATGCCTGGAAAAATTAGAATATAAATTATAATTAGTATCTGATCGTTAAGGTCGATATTCTGCCAGGAGGGGCCTGCCTTGCAGTTTAAGACACGTGAGTCATTAGCAAAATCTAGGCTGGCGGTTTCTTAAAGCTTGGTCTTTAGAATCAGTCAAATTTTATTTATTAAAAATTCAGGTTCCATGACTCAAGATTGAAAAAATCAACAGAAGGCATGGAGAATCTGCTGCAGATGGCCAGCCGCACACAGTTTAACAGCCTTGCGCAGTCTCAACCGAATCTGGCCCTGGAGTCGATCCGTAGTGCTTAGCCTCAGAGCAGCAAGGTGCATGCGCAGTACCAGCTCCACGCGCTGGGCAGAGCTCCCTGAGACCCTGCACCTGGGGTTCTCTTTTAAGTCTCCTAATTCCGGCTTCTCTGGCAGCGGCCCAAGGCCCCGCCCCTTCCTGCAGACCAATCAAATATGAGGTTGCTGAGGCCGGGAGCCAATGGCCAGGGCTGTCTTTGATCCCTGCCAGCAGTTTTGAAACTGCCTGGTGGCTGCTAGGGAATCCGCTGAACTCCCGGTGTTTGCAGCTTCCCCGGCCCGCGCGGCGAGTAAGGAGCCGGGGCTCGGTGGAGCGCAGACGGGGTAAGAACCGGGAGTTGCATCTCCGGTTCCTCCGCGCTAGGCCCGGGAGCGCCCTTCCCGGAGCGGGGTTGAGCATCGCGATTAATTAAAATGTGGGGGAAATAGCCAAACATAACGTTGTGTTTTGATTAAGAATTGGATTTAAACTGGGTTGGGTCGGAGGGCGATGAAACAATTTCTATCCGTTTGCTTACTCGCCGTTCACTGCATTTTGGGCTGGACTGCGCTCCCCCTCTCCATGCACGCAGTTAGGACGGGTGAAGGGTCAGGGGCTGTCACCTTGCTGTCAGTTGTACTTTGGTTCACTCCCTGCCACGTGGAGGTTACGTTTGAATTCCTGGAGCCCTCTTTGTCAAGCCAGGTCTTTGCTAAGAGATCCCTGTGTATCTGTGACAAACGGAAGCATTCAAACTCTCCTGTGGTTTCTGGTACCCTAGGTTAGATAATGAAACTTTGATGGCGTATATCCTCCACCCACTCAGGCAAGCGTCATTCTTTGGTTTCTGAAGCTAGATACAGGAAGGAACCGTACTGTTGTAGTTTTCCCGTTATCATACCTGCTTGCACACAGCGGGGGAAGTGGCAGCATCCTTTCCAAAAGTACAATCATTGTGTTGCATTTGCTGTATATAATTAAGAAACAACTTTTGAGGTCTGGCTGTACTCGCTCATATTTTATTTAAACAGCACCTCCTAACTGGTTACCTACCAGGTCTGCAAGCAAATCCTAAGGGAAGATGCTAATGAAAATATAAATGAGCCAAATTAACAGTGGTTCCCTGTAAATCGCTGAAGCAGCATTCCTTGCTGCAGGTACCTGCTTATATATATATCCCTAATTGGCTTAACGAAAGATAGTCATGCTGAGATTTTGTGTACTTAATCTCTTGTGTACATAGTAATACTGAATAGAATTGCAGTTTCCTTTTCACACTCTAGCTCTGGCCTATGTTTCTATTCAATATTGTAATATTCCCTGTATCTCGCCTTTCTACTTCAATTTCCATATTGTTTATTTTATTTATTTATTTATTTATTTATTTTTAGCACTCTGTGATTGAGTCCTGTTCCAGCAGCCGTTGACACTGTTCAAGCAAATGCCACAGCAGCTTCCTGGTGGGCAAGCTCAGGGCAATGCTTGCCCTTTTGTGGCATGAGGCTCTGACAGTCTCCATGATGCTTCTCAGGAAGTTCTCGTTTTCTGACTTCCTTGCCAGTCTTTTTTGCTGACTACTCCTTTAAAAGTTAGCAGTTATGAATTTAACTCTCTTCTCATAGTCCTTAACTTTATTAGGATTGTGGTCTTCTCTGATATCATATTGGAAACTAAATTCTCTTTCTAAAAAATACACATGTGCACATATATTTTTGCATACTTTATCACATAAAAATAGGTGATTCCATCCATTCCCATTTTTTTCAATAGATCCCAGTAGAGCAAGGCCTGCTCGAGCTGTACCTCCAGCCTACACTCCTAGTAGGGATCCTGTGCCACCCTGCTTTAGGGACCAACATTTACATTGTAGTTATTATGAATGGCAGTCCTTGTGCACTGAGTAGCCAGTACAGCCATATACATTATTATTCTTTAACCACAGTACAGTGACTCCAGGACCCCTGCAGATACCTAAGTCTGCAGGTGCTCAAGTGGCTTATATACAACGGCATAGTATTTGCATATACCCTATTATGCCTATCATCCTTTAATACTTTAAATCATCTCGTTTACTTATAATACCTACTATGATATGAATTGTATAGTTACACAGTATTGTTTAGGGAATAATGATAAGAAAAAAAGTCTGTACATGCTCAGTACAGATGGAATTTTAATAAATATTTTTGTGTCAAGTAAGGTAGCACACACCTTTAATCACAGCACTGGGGAGGCAGAAGTAGACAGAGCTCCGTGAGTTTGAGGCCAGCCTAGGCTACATAGTGAATTCCAGGCCAGCCAAGGCTATATAATGAGACCCTGTCTCAAAAAAAGAAAAAAGGAGAGAAATATTTTTACCCACAGTTGATTGAATCCATGAATGCAGAACCCACAGATACTGAGGGCTGACTGTACTACATGCCCACAGCTTTACCCAGTGCCTCAATGGCAGTCTCACACCCAACACATCTGGCATTGAACTCATTGTCCTTCCCGACTTCATCTTCCTACATTTCTTGCTTTGATGAGTATGCTATGATCCATCTGGTTACCCAAGCCGGAAGTCTGGAAGCCATCCACAGTCTTCACTCACTCCTTCTAAACAGCCAATCAACAGTCATTATATCTTTTAAATTACTTTAAAATTTTTCTTAGTTAAGACTTTTAATAATTTTTATGTGTCCAAGTTTGTTGTTCTATATAAGCTTACTGTTTGTAAAATAATATTCTCAAAAGGTAAGTTTCACTGAAAAAATTTACACAAATTGTTAGCTAAACAGTGATCACAGGCTAGCAGACCCCACAGGGGATTATTCTAAAGCATTGTTCTTTAACCTTTCATGTGTTTGTATGACTCTCTTTCAGTATATTATGAACACACTAAATGTTGAAAGTGAGTCATTCTTTTCCCTCCATGATTTTTACCTAACTGTACTCAATATGTTGAATGGGTGATGTTTTATAAATAACATGAAAATTGTTTGCAAGTTAAATACTATTGCACTGATATATATTTAAAATTCTTCTAGTTTGCGTATTAAGGAAAACAACTAAATTTAACTTCCTTTGTTTTATAGTATTTGTGCAGAATGGCATCAGATGATGAAAAATTTTCACTTCATGTTGTACAGAATGATTCCAGTAAAGGCAGCTCTGTCTCTTCAGACCTTCAGGTAGGAAGCCATCTAAATTTATCATGACTTTTAAAAATTATTTTAAAGAAGTGGTAACTTGGGGCTGGAGAGGTGGCTCAGTGAGTAAGAACCCTGACTGCTCTTGCAGAGGACCGAGATTCAATTCCCAATACCCACATGGTGGCTAACAGCTGTCTATAACTTCAGTTCCAGGGGATCCAATGCCCTCTTCTGACTTCCACAGGCATTGCACAACATGGGTGCACTTACATACATGCAGGCATCACACTCATACACATAAAATAAAAATAATAAGTAAAATATTTTTAAGTCATAATTTGTGGGGAAACCAGAAATACATTTTTTTCATTTACTCTTTCCATCTATAATGAAGTGTTTGCATTTACAATATTATCAAACTTAAAGAATTACTCTACAAATTTTAGGAGTGCATTGTCTTGGATTTTCAGAAAAAAAGGCATGAACTATTCAAATGCTTTTTCTACAAAGACTTGAGCCACCTTGAGACGTAAAGCTAAAAATTTCAAGAACTATTATCTGAAATTTTCTTATTTAACCACCTCTACTGAATGCTTTCATTTTTAATGTATTTGAATACATTATCAAACCATCTAAAGTTCTAGAGTTCAAGATTCTCTTGTGTTCTACTGGATGAGGTTCTAATACCTGTTGCTACAACATCTAATACAATCTACAGCCCTGGACCCATGTACTGAAAGATAAGTTAGGTAACTAAGTAAGAAGGGATGCCATTTACATGATGTTCAGATCCTGAGACCAGCTTCTAATTATCCCTAACTGAAGGGAGGCTGGAAATATAGCTGGGTGGCCGTTTGCCCAGGTCAGTCCTGGGGCTTCATAAACTTACAAGAATAAAGGGAAAATGGAGCCATTGGATCATTAGCAATCTTTACCACAAAGAGACTTGAAATTTATATATTTGATTAGTTTATAAGGATCAGATCACATTCCAGTTTATAGAAACCTTATATCTCATCCCAGTTTATCAAATTGGGATTGCCTTTTATTTTAATAGCTGAAAAACTACAATTTCCTTTTAATGACTGAATATGATTTGGGAATTTTTTTATGTATATAAGTGTATTTCCTGCATGTGTATAAGTGCACCTGTGTTGTGCAATGCCCACAGAAGTTAGAAGTCCCCTGGAACTGGAGTTACGGAGAGTTGATAGCCGCCATGTGGATGCTGGGAATCAAACCCGAGTCCTCTGCAAGAGCAGCCAGTGCTCTTAACCCTGAGCCATCTTTCCAGCCCCCAGGAATGTATATTGATCTTTTTGAGACAGGATCTCACTGTAGCCTCAACTGACCTGGAACTCACTATGTAGCTCAGGAACTCACATTGATCCACCTGCCTCTGCCTCTGCTGGGATTAAAGGCGTACACTACCACGCCTTCCTGGAATATATTTTTTTAGATTTAAGCCTATTTAAATATTTTTAAAGAATTAAAATTACTTTTGTCAATTTGAAATTTAGACATTGTAATGTGCCAAATTTAAGTAGCTAGGCTAGCTTCAGACTTACAGTTCTTTTGCCTCTACCTGTCACTGCTACAATTATAGGTGTTCGCCACCATGGCTGCTGTGGCTTTTACTTCATGCTAGGAAACAGTTTGAAACTTAGGTGTTTCTTGTCATGAAAGAGCATCACTAACAGTGTTGATAGAGCATTATGAAGAGGATTCTGGTGATGAATTTTCTGGTGGTTGCCTTTTGAATGTCTGCTTCTGTCATTACCAGTAATATATACTGCATAAAGATTGTTTTATCTAATATTTAATGCATGTAAATGTGTGTGTGGAATAGGAATCTAAGTTGATGCTCAAGCCAAGTCACTGTTTCACATTTAATTGCCCTAACACCTGGCAATTTTCAAACAGAATAGTATAAACTCAAACAATTTTACTTAAAATTCCAATATGAAAAAGTAGGCTAAAACAGAACTATAATCATATAGATGTGTTTTATAAATTCACATTTAAGTCATTTTCTTCTAACAAAGGCAGAGAAAAAAAGCATTTGAAATGAGGAGAGATAAAAAATGCCAGTATCCAATCCACTTCTTTTGAATTATATAATAGCAAGAAAATTCTGGTGCCTTGTGTTGGTACTGTATGCCTATAATCTCAGTACTCGGGCCTAGGCAGGTGGATTACAAATTTGACACCAAGTTCCAGGCCAGTCTGGGAAATATAGGGAAACCCTGTCTCATAAAAACAGAAGAAAAGGACTGAGGAAAGAAGGGGTAGAGAAAGAATGTTCTGATTCTCACTTCAAGTAGTTGAAAATGTCAGCTTTTAAATAGCATATCTCTCATCTTCAGTTCAATTGATCTGAGATATAAGAAAGATGGAAAAAATTTACTGCGTCAAATCAATAACACTCTTTTACCTCTTTGAACTTTAAATTATAAATGTAAAAGCCATCCTGGAAGCACTCAGAGAATCAAGCTTAACATAAATGCTAATATTTTTGGTATTGTGATAAGCATATGACTCTATTAAATGGTTAACTAGATTTCTTAAAACAACAGAAATGAGAGTGGTTGAATCTATTGTAACAGTATAATGGTTATAATGCATTTCTGGTTGTTGGCTTCTCATAGGAAGAGTATGAAGAACTGCTTCGCTATGCTATCGTGACTCCAAATATCGAATCCAGCGCTCCACAGCCATCTCTTCCTAAGGGAGAAGTGGTACCAGATAGATTTCCTGCATCATTTGGTATGCTTTATGTGTAGTCTTCAAACTAACACTTAGGAGCCTGAGTTTATCAGTGATTCTAACATGGTTGTGAAAATGTCTTACCTTCACTGGCTCATCTCAATTCAAAGTGTAAGTTAGTATCATGTGGGGTCACCTTACATTTTACTGTGTTATTCCTGGCTCTTTTGAAACAGGTGGGATTTTTTATAAACTTCGTTTGACTCTTAGCTTTATGAAACGTAATAAAGTTAAAGCAGCACTTGAGCAATTATTTATCTCTTGGTGGAATATATTATATAATACAAAGTTCTATGCCAGGATTATCTTAAAAACTAAATGCCCAAACCCATCATTAAAAATAATCCAGCAATGGGGGCTGGACAGATAGCACAGCAGTTAAGAACACTGACTGTTCTTGCAGAAGACCCGAGTTCGAATCCCAGCACCCACATGCAGCTAACAACTGTCCATAACTCCAGTTCCAGGGGATCCTACAGTCTCTTCTGTCCTCTGTGGGCATTGCACAACATGGGTGCACTTAACCTACATGCAGGCAATACACGAATACACAAAAAATAAAAATAATAAATAAAATATTTTTTTAAATCCAGCATTGCCTTCAGAATCCTTTAAGTTACTCTGCAAACTACATACTAGTGCTTTGTTAGCAAACTTTGTATGGGCATGGAGAACTATTTGGCTTATTAGCACAAAGGTGGATCCACTTATGAACTGTCAGCAGTAGACGCAAGATCTGATGCAAGTCAAGGTGTACATTGATAGTTAAAGGTAGAAAAAGTAAATTTTTTTTATCTTTTCTTATTTAGTAAAGTACAAATTCAAAGAGCTCACTCTGAGTAAGCCCTCTTTTCTTTATTTATTTGTGTGTACACATAACAGCACATGTGTGGAAGTCAGGACAACTTTGTGGAGTCAGATCTCTCCTCCTACCATGTAGGTATCAGGGATCAGGTGTCCAGGTTTAACAGAAAGCATCCTTACCCTCTGAGGTATTGCACCAGCCCTGAGTAAGCATTCTTTCAGAGGTCTCAGACACCTAAGGTAAAACAGTCACCATACTTTGGCATGCCTCCAAGGATCCCTGTCCTTGAAGATGCATGTCATAACCCACTCAGAGGCACAAGGCTCCCAGGTTTCTGCTAAGTCACAACCCTGGTTTCTATTACTCACTGTCTGTAGTTCTATATTTTTTGTGTTCCTCAGTCTTCAATCTACTGTGTTAGAAAAATAGATAGGACTATTGTACCAGCTTCTAAAAGAAACTTTACAGTGACAGAATATTTTTAATGCAAAGTTCATTGTCTTTAAGAGACATGAACCTTGAATTTATTCAGTGTACATCAGAGATCTCAGACATGTTTTGATTACACTGAGTACCTTAGCATGCAGTTCCTACTGGGCAAACTCAGAGTGCTACATACTTTCATAATATAAACAGGCAAGGGGAGAGAGCTCAGTAGGTAAAGTGCTTGCCATGCAAGTATGAGGATCTAAGTTCGAAGGCCCAGAACCCATGTAAAGCTGGGTGGAGTAGCATACTTCTGTAGTCTTAGTGCTCCTGCAGCGAGATGGGAGGCAGAGACACAGGAATCCCTATAAGCTCCCAGGCCCGCTAGCCTAGTCTACACATGGTGAACAGCAAAGAGACACTGTCTTGAGGTAGAAGAAGAGGCCTGATACCAGAGATTGTCCTCTGACTTTGCATGCATGTCTGTGGCACATGCTCAACATACATGTGCACATGCATCATGTACACACAGACTATAAAAACAGGCAAGTTGGCATTGTGGCCTTACATACCTCTTTTATGGGAATTACCAAAAGCTTGTCTCCTCTCCTGCCAGCATTAGTCCTGTGCTGTTGCTACCAGTGCCATAACTCCTTCCCTTGCCTTGCTCTTCAACATTTCATAATCACCTGAGATTTAAGACTGCCACTCTTTCTCCCATGTAAGATCATTTTTATGCTTTTCCTTTTCCAAATAGCATTTGCGATTAAAACATACAACATATAGTAAGTTTTTGTGTTCTGACTCACTACCAGACTATTAGACTAGAATATGTAAACTTACCACACGTTCTCGTTATTCTTGGTATTTTGGTCTCCTAGTATAAGCAGGGTCTGTTGAACTGGCAAAGTATGTTTAAGTTTATAACACAACCATTCTTGTGAGGTTTTCCCATTTCCTTTTGGAAACGAATTGACCAAAGGTCCTAAGTGGAGGCAAGGAAGTCCTTGTGTGGAGGAACCAGTGCTTACCTTGACTGTAGCAGTGAAAGCAGAAAGCCCCTAGGAACACCCCTGTGTTGTGAGATAGTGGGTCCACCTCTAAGTTCTGGCCCATGCATTCCCCAATGTGAAATCAGTGCTATGGTATGCCAAAATGTCTTTCACCCACATTTGGTTAGTGAGATTGAGCTTATCAATAATCCAATGTCTTTTTCCTGACTTTCCCCAATATATATTGTATTTTCTTTGTTCAAAAATTATACTCATATACTACTATCTTGTAATATATGATTATTTAGGCATTTCATTTAAGAGTGGTTCACTTTTTATATGGAAACAGTTAGAGACAGTCAGGCAACAGCTTTCTGAATAGGAACTAATAGCTCAGGAAATAATAACAAAAATTGACAAATGAAATTGCCTCAAACTAAAAAGCTTCTGCACAGCCAAGGAAACTACAGAGTGAAGAGGCAGCATACAGAAGGGAGAAAAATATTTTCCAGCTATACATCTGATAGAGGATTAGTAGCCACAATATATAAAGAACTCAGATATATAATAATGTGAAAAATATATAGTAATGTGAAAAATGTTTGCCCTCTTTAGCCATCAGGAAAATGCAAATCAAAACCACACTGAGCTCTCATCTTACCCCAATCAAAGTAGCTGTCCCCCAGAAAACAAAACAACAAACCCTAGAAAAAATACGGGAAGGAATAGACTCTTAGATACTGCCAGTGGGAATGTAAACTTGTGCAAGCACTGTGGAAGACAGTTTGGCAGTTCCTTTCAAAACTAAAAAGAGAACTACCATATGGCCCAGCTACACCACTCCTGGGTATCTACCCAAGAAAATCAAAGTTAGTGTACAGTAGAGGTACTTGTACACCCATGTTCACTGAAGCACTATTCACAGTAGCCAAGTTATGAGATCAGTCTCAGTGCCCATCAACAGATGAATGGTTAAAGAACAATGAAATATTCAGCCATAAAGAACAAAATCATGCTATTTGCCAGGAAATTGATGGAACCTGAGAATCAATGTTTTAGTGAAAGAAGCTTAGAAAGACAAATACTGCACCTTTTCTCACATATGTGGAACATAGATTTTTGTTTTCAAAGAAAAACATAGAAGGAGTCGTGTTTAAGAAGGGGACCAGGGAGGGGACAACAGAGGGTAAGCAAATGGTAAATATTATCAAAGTATGTTATATGCTGCATAAAAAAGTCACAAACCCATTGTTTTGTACAATTCATATACACTGATTTTTTTTTAAGTAGTTCCATTTATTTTTATAAAGCCTTTCTTTTTGACAGGGACTAACCCTATAAAAGACACTGCAATGGAAGTTGGGAAAGGAAGCAATTTAACTATTTCAAGTCAGTCAAAGTCAGGTAGGATGACTTTTCCTTGGCTGTTTCATTAACATACAACATTATTTGGTACAATGAATATTAGCTAATAAGAGGAATTATTTATTTTTTTATTTTTACTTTATGTGTATGAATGTTTTGCCTGCATGCATGTTGTTGCACCCATGTCATGCAGTGCTTGTGGAGGCCAGAAGAAGGTGCTGGATCCCCTGGAACTGGAGTTATAGATGGTTGTTAGCTGCCATGTGGGTACTGGGACTTGAACCTGGGTCCTCTGCAAGAGCAGCCAGTGCTTTTAACTGCTGAGTCATCTTTCCAGCCCCCTAATAAAAGAAGTTTTTATCATCTAACAAAAGGAATAATATCAACATATTAATAACAAGATGCTTAAATGCTATTGTTGCTAACTTAAGTGATATTTTAAATTTCATAAGATTCCAAAATAATACAACTAAGACCAGTTAGTAATTATAATGTATGATATCCTTTACTAAAACTGCTAACTTAGAAGACAGCTATTTTTAAAGATTTAATGTGATATTGGCCAATTTAAATCTTTCCTGAACCTAAACCAATGTGCTGTTTCCCAAATTCAGACATATATGTACTGATGTATGATTTTTGTCACATTTATACTACATGTTCTCTCATTTACTATTTTTTAAAGATGTTCACTTTTAAACTACTGAGTATAACATAAAGTTAATGTATATTTGTTGCAATTAAAAAAATGGTAAAAATAATTAATGAAAGCCAACGTATTGACTCCTTCAAAGTATTGTTGATAATACTCTGTTGCACCCAGAATGTGCCTTGTATTCCTTACAAGGAGAGATCAGTGTGTTAAAGGGTTTTGAAGCATTATGGAACCAGCTTCAGACTTTCTATTTGACCTGGTATAAATTTAAAGGATGGAAATGGGATACTTTCCTTACTATGTGATTTATCATCATTTAATGTGAGAACCGTTTATGTTGTCTTGCAAGAAATGCCTTTGCCCTTTAGTTCTTCACCTGTAAGAATCTTAGGCAGGAGCATCTGAGATGGTCTTTCACGTTCTTAAGTTACATGATTCTACTCTGTTAAAAGTAAACAATGAGAAGCAGAGCCTATTGGGCATGGTGGAACGTGCTTGTAATCCTAGAACTCGTGAGTCTGAGTCAGGAGGATAGCTAGTTCACAATCAGCCTGGGTTACATAGAAACTGTCTCAGAAAAAAAAAAAAAAGCCAAGTCTTTGTAGTTGGTAGAATCCAGTAAAAGGATAAAAGAATATCTGGGCATTTCCCAGCTTCAGAACATGTTAGATAATAATGTGTCATACTATGATAGTCCCAAACCCTATATTTTTTATACCAAACGCAGATATATTAGGAAATAGTTTTCCTTCTCACAAGGAGTTCTTAAAGATTTGATTTTAAGGAACACATGTTATACTAATTTTGTCTTTGATTCATTTTGTGAGAGAGGAAAGCCCTTGGGCCTTGGTTACTAGGACCTTCATAGTAAATGAGAGATGTGTGAGTAATAATGATGGATGGTGTCTAGCTCCAGCACACATCTGTGGAAGAGTGTTAACCTTTCTAGTTTATGCTTTTTAGAGACAGGGGCCAGTTGTCTTTCTGGCTCTGGCTCCCCCACTGCCCCAAGTAATGGCAAGTGCTGAAAGTTATATATACAGGTATATCCATGTATAGAGAGATGTACATATATTTCTCACCTACATGTTGAAGGCTAGCAGAGAGTGATAAACTAAATCACTAGTTCCTTTTTTTGGTTAGATCTTAGCAATGTTGAGGCATATACCAGTGTTCAGTATACAATAATAGTGTATCTATATATAGCCACTCTGACTTTGGTCAATTAACTTTCTGAACTGCAGTTTTCTCCATGAAATAAAGAAAATATCTACTTTTAGAAAATACTGTATTTATTATTTTTATTTTATGTGTATGATTGTATTGCCTGCATGTGTGTTAGTGCACCTGTGTCATGCAGTGCCTGTGAAGGTCAGAAGAGGGCATTGGATCCCTTGGAACTGGAGTTAAGGATGGTTGTTAGCCACCATGTGGGTGCTGAGAAACAAACCTGGATCCTCTGCAAGAGCAGCCAGTGCTTTTAACTGCTGAGCCATCTCTTCAGCCCCAATAATACCTGCTTTTTAGGATGGCATGAGTTATGGGAATTAATCTCTTACCATTTTTAATCACAGGAGCATGAAAAGCACTTTGCTAATGTTAAAGTGATGGTATGGATGATAATACTTCAGCTCAAGCTGCACTAGAATGCCCAGGATGTGAAACATCTTGATTGCCATAGGGATTGTTTCCTGGGGGGTAGAAGGGAATGTAGGAGCCAACCCTAAACTAGTGACAATACTGGAATTAAAAATAACCAGTACACTTGAAAGGTAGTTTCTCTGCATTCTTTTCAGCCTCCAGAGTTAACAGATATCTTGTAGCCTTTTGCTATCACCTTGCCAGTGGAGAATTCAATTTGACTCGATTGCTGCTTGATCACCTTTCTTATTTTCTAGGGTCATCACCTGTGTTGTCGCCAAGGAAGCCTTCTCACCCAGTCATGGATTTTTTCAGTTCCCATCTTTTAGATGACTCTTCCTTACCAACCTCTACTTCTACTCATGCAGATGCCCATGAAATAATTATGGGTGATTGTCTTATTTCTGATGAAAACCTTCAGAAGATGGAAAATATGCTTGATCTCTGGAGTTCAGGTCTTAAGGTATTGTGGTTCTTTTGCAATATTCATCATGGTACTTTGGCTCTTGAGGCAACTCTTTCTTCTTCTTCCTTTCCTTCCTCTACTTTCCTCATCTTCCTCCCTTTCTCTTCCTCCGTCTTTCTACTCCCTTCCTCTTTTCCACATCCTCCTTCCTCCTTCCTCCCTCTCCTTCCAAGTTCTTTTAGAAAACAAAAAGCCCTCGAACCTTTACGCCCCTGAAAAGAGCTGTCCAGTGTCTTAGGTCTATGCTTCTCCATCTTTATGTACATATGACCGTCTCAGTGTCCTGTTAAACTGTGGATTGGTGCCCAGTAGGTTTCAGGTAGGACCTAAGATTATGTATTTCTATCAAGCTCCTAGGTAGCATTCCTGGTTTCTAAACCATATGCTGAGCTGCAAGGTTTTAAGGAGTTGCTAGGACACTGTATGTTCCAGTGAATTTCTCAGATGTTTGGAGACTTGGCTTCTGTATAACTAAGACTGTTTGAGCCTATTCATGTCACAGTTATGACAAACGGAGGCTGGGTGAGGAGGGGGCATATACCTGCAGTCCAACTACTTGAGAGGCTAGGGTAGGAAGATTGTTTGAGCTCAGGAATTCAAGATCAGCTTTGGCAGTATAGTGGGTTTCATCTCAGAAACAAAAACCCTAAGCGATAACTAAAGAAAATACCTCCTTTTGTGTTAAAAAAAGTTTATCAGCGTATAGTCATTTTATAGCAGCTACTATATATGACTGATAAAGCTATTAAAATATTCTTTATTTGGTGATGTTAGTAGCATGTCAGTAAAACAAAATATTGTAAAAATGGCAAGATTTTGCTATTTTTTTTTAAAGGGGGAGGTGGGCAGGGCTAGAGAGATGGCTCAGTGATTCAAAGCCAGAGGATCAGAGTTCTAATTCTCAACACCCATGTTAGGCCAACTTACAACCTCCTGTAACTCCAGCTCCAGCAGGATCCTGTGCCTCTGGCCTTCATGGTCACTGCACTCACATATACATATCACGCGCACATGCACACACACACACACACACACACACACATACACACACACACAGTCACTTTTCTGAAGCATATAGTTTGAGAAAAATAAGTTATATATTTATATACATGGAAAAAGTATGGTCATGTGAGTTCTGTGGCATTTATATTTCCCTGTTATTTAGAACCTAAATTGTAGAAATAATCTATAAGTGCAATTTCTAGCAGTTTTCCATTGGACAGGTTTCATAATTATAGTAATAATGAAAGACTGTTGGAGTATTATGCAACCAACCATTCAAAGTGTTCTGTGTTCAGTTAAGCATATTTGTCACTGAATTTTTTTATAATAGTGATTATTTGGTCCTTTTATGCTAGTCATTTGGGTGAAAAGGCTTAACAATAAGTGGCTTCAGCTAGCACTATTGCCTCTAAATAACCAATTGTTAATGGCTGGATTTTCTTATTCACCTGATCCATTTTAATATAGACACTAAGTCCTTGAATTTATTTAGTCAATGAAACTTGATTTTAAAAAAAATAACGAGATTTCATGCAAAGAAACATAAACTAGGAAGAAACTAATTTCTCTGATGGGGCAGTTGTGACCTGTGCAGAACGGCGGCTGTTGAGCTTGCGTAGTCACCACTGGTGTGTTGTGGTTTCTTTTTAGTAGCTCTTTTGTTAACCTGATTTTTCTTAATATTACTTATTTCAGTTTAAGAGTGTTTTGAAAAACCAAACTGCTTAATTTTGGGTATATTTACTTTTCAGACAAACATTATATCTGAACTAAGCAAATGGAGAATTAATTTTATTGACTGGCACCGAATGGAAATGAAAAAAGAGAAAGAAAAACATGCAGCAATTGTAAAACAACTGTCAAACCAGATCAATGACTTGAAGGAGCTGCACAAAACCTTTGAAATTTCCATTGGAAGAAAAGATGAGGTCTTCTCTTCTTTATCTCCTTCTAGTTGAGACTCATTAGATGCCTTGCCGAAAACTATATTCTGAGAACTAATGATTATTCCACTCCTACAAGATGGAAAAAATCACTTCAGAAACTGATAGGAAAATAGACACACAGCCGTAGGATTCATTCTGACTAAACATGCATGCAGTGCTTTATCTCTACCTTTGGTAGTTGGTGATATTTAAGAATGTCTGCTAAGTGTAGGTACACTGTTTTTTGGTTTTTGGTTTCTTTCCTGACCATTTTTCTAGCCTTAAAAGAACACCAAGGAACAAGCAGTACCTTCATTTTAAACAATCCTCATTTTAATATAGTATCTCAACTTCTACCTGTAAGATGTATTTCTTCATTGATGAAGATAAACAGAGAAAATATCCATTTTTTCACTTCCTCTTGGCTTCTTAAGAACTGGAGGTTAGAGTTCAGGTCTGTGCTTGTCTTTACCCTCTGATCACACCTTGAACAAAGCAGATGGGCAACAAATTTATAGCCCCTCTGACCTACATCTGTTTATGGAAAGGAGTGGATTTCAGAGAAGGACTCTGGGCAGATGCCTCAGCTTCTTGCTGGCAGAAGCAGCACTCGAGCATTTAATGAACTAGATAAAGGTGTTGGGTCTGTTTTATGTAGCCTAGATTGTCCTCCAGGTAGAAGGCCCCCTGTCTCTCTATTACAAGCATACCACCACACCTAGCAAGATCATGTGTTTTTTCAAATATAGGTTGCTTTTGCTCTTACTGGGTGTAATATAAAATTAAATGTTTTATGTAGTTTGCTTTTTTAGAAACAATGTCAGTCGTTTTCTCTATCACCTTCAAAACCCTGTTCTGAGGTTTTCAAGTATTTTAATTTTTCTTAGTTTGAAGGATCATATAAAGAGTATACTTACGTTCAGTTTATGAAAATAAATAAAATGAACAGCTATGTATCACTATCCAACTTAAGAAATCGAATATTCATGGCATCTAGGAATGCCTTTCCCATTTTGAAAAGGAAAACAAGACTGGGTGTGGGATGCCTGTAATCTCAGTATTCAAAAGGTAGTGGCGCCGGGCATGGTAGCACATGCCTTTAATCCCAGCACTTGGGAGGCAGAGGCAGGCCCGGCCCTTTGTGAGTTCGAGGTCAGCCTGGTCTACATAGTGAGTTCCAGGACAGCTGGGGCTGCAGGGAGACCCTGTCTCCGAAAAAAAAAAAAAAAAAAAAAAAAAAAAAAAAAAAAAAAAAAAAAAAAACCAACAAAAAACAAAACAAAATCAGGCAAAAAAGGGGCTGGCAAGGTGGCTCGGCAGTTAAGAGCACTGGCTGCTCTGGCAAAGGATCTGGATTCAATTCCCAGCACCGACATGGTGGCTAACAGTCATCTGTAACTCCCATTCAGGGGATCCAATGCCCTTTTCTGGCCTCCACAAACATTGCATGACATGAGTGAACCTACCTATGTGCAGTCAATACACGCATACACATAAAATAAAAGTAATAAATAAAATATTTTTTAAAAGCAGGCAAACGAAAAGGAATATATGTCCTGTGATGAATGTATGGAGTTTACTAAGTTCCTTTTTAATGTGTCTAGTTTTAGATACATTTTTTTCAATTACTCAGTTTTTGGAAAAGAAAATGTTATCTTAGAAATTGAAAGTTTTCTCTCTTTTTTTGGTCTGAGACAGTCTCCCTGTAGCCCCAGCTGGCCTGGAACTTGCTATGTAGACCAGGCTGGCCTTGAACTCATAGAGATCCGCCTGCCTCTGCCTGGGATTAAAGGCCTGGGCCACCACTCCCAGCTAGGAGTTAAAAAAAATTTTAAGGATAATAATATTCCTGAAGAAAATGATCAGAATAGAACTATTATTTTTATAAATATCCAAACCTCAAGTTTAGTAAATACTGAGAAAATTTCTATGTCCAGGGTACTAGCAGGGTCTAGAAAGATATTTAGAATGCTCTGTTCAGAAGTCAAATGAATAAAAACTTTTTGAATAAAAGCTTTTTGTATATGTAGCAAAATTTGCAAATGTTATTTTCCTGAATTAAATGTCAATAATTATGCTAATTATCATGTACATAAACTTTATTATGGAGGAAGAAGATATGTACACTATAAAGATTTCTTTCCTTTCTCCTCCCATCGATATTTAGTGATTCATGTGAGAAACTTCTTTGGTCTTTATATTTGCCTGTGCTAAGCATGGTGGTTCATGCCTGGAACCCCAGCATTCAGGAACCTGGAGGAGGAGTAGGGTCATAAATTTGAGTCTAGCCTGGACTACAATTGAGACGTTGTTTCAATAAAAAAAATGAAGCTAATTGATGAATGTAGTAGAGATCTGTAATTATTCTCATATAAGAAAATTAGTTTATAAAAATGAATAAACTGAGCAGCCAGGCACCATTTAGCTTGAGTATTAGAATAACCTGACATCTTAGACTGTGCTCTTTCCACAGTAGTCAGTTGCTATTAACTGGGTTAATTGCTGTTTACAGGTGATTTCCAGCTTGTCTCATGCCATAGGCAAGCAGAAGGAAAGGATAGAGTTAATGAAAACCTTCTTCCATTGGCGAATCGGCCATGTCAAATCAAGACAGGATGTAAGTATTAAAAAACAAGACTGCTGAACTAGAAAGCATTTTAAGATCACTTACTAGAACTCTTGTTAAAGCCAAAGATTTTTTTTCTAATAAGTCAATAAATTTATGGCATAATGTTGCTCTTATTTCAAAAAATTTGATTTCTGTACAGTTTTGGAAAAGAACCTCTCAGATTTTATAGACATAGGGTATATATTATGATAGATACACTGTTTGCTGCTTCATAGAGATTTACTAAGGATTGCACCAAACTTATAAATGACCTGGTAATGAGACATCCTTAATAGATTTTACCTCAGACATGGTTATTTGGAAAAAGTATTTATAGACCTAAACATGTCTTATGAGTCCTGTATTGTTTCTATTTCCAACACAGCTGACCAGGCACAGTGGCACATGTGTAGTCTCAGCCACTCAGGAGGCTGCAGCAGGAATCACTAGAGCACAGGGAATTGTAACCAGCATGGGCAAGACAAGACCCTGGCTCAAAAAAGAAATAGTAATATTTATGCATTATAAAATGATACAGATAATATTTATTGAATAGACTTTCCTTAGCATGAGAATTAGAGCCATTCCTAGATAAGTTTGCAAGTTTATAACTGAATATCATTTATTTTTATTAGGTAAAAGCTGAAACAGTATCCCAAGACTTGTGAAGGGGAGCCTGGGCATGGTAGCACAGACCTTTAGTCAGGAAGCAGAGGCAGGCTGATCTCAAGTTCATGTCCAGCCTGGTCTACATAGTGAGTTCCAGGACAGCCAGGGCTAGGCAGTGAGACCCTGTCTCAGACAAAAAAAAAAAAAAAAAAAAAAAAAGTTTTAATTTAAAATAGAATAATAAATTACTGAGACCAGGCATGGTGGCACATATATATAATCTTAGCACTTGGGAGGCTGAGCCAAGAGGATCATGAGTTCAGTGCCAACCTGGGCCATATAACAAGTCCTTGTCTTTAAAATAAGATTGTGTGAAAACTATGAGTAGACAGACAGACAGATAGATAAACAGAAGAAAGAAGACAGGGCATAGAAAATAAGGATGGATATAGAGATCTGTATTACACATAAATTCACATGAGTCCTAGAGTAGTCTGGATTTGGCAAATAAGAGATTAGTGTTTTAGGAAAAAATTACCATGAATGAAAATTTCTCTTTTAAGACTACATTCGAAGCCAGACATGGTGGCATACACCTTTAATCCCTCCACTCATGGGGCAGAGGCAGGTGGATCTGTGAGACTGAGGCCAGCCTGGTCTACATAGTTCTATGCCAACCAAGGCTACAATAGACTGTCTCAAAAACAAACAAAGAGACTTCTAATGTTTTCAGTTTTTATTGAACTGACTCAGTAATGTGCCTACTGTGCAAGCATGACGATCTGAGTTCAGATCTGCAGTACCCATGTACAAGCCAGGCATAGCAGCACAGCAGGAAATAGAATAGGAGAATCCCCAGTGTCCAGCCAGCTAGCTGAATCAGTAAAAATTAAGATGGAGCGTGATGGAGGAAGATACACACACACACACATGCACACCAGTAAATACATAAACCAAACTAAAATGAGTCAGTATGCCATAATTTAAAAGTTATGTGTGAAGTGACACATAATGGGAATAATTATTTTAAAGACTGGCTGGAGTAGTCAAGGTGCCATCACTTTTTTATATTAATGAGGGTTTTCTTGCACAAATGTAAGTGTACCATGTGCGTGCGGTGCCCACATAGGTCAGAAAAGGGCATTGTATCCTCTGGAACTAGAGTTGCAGATGGTTGGTAGCCACCACATGGGTGTTAGAAATAGAACCAGGGTCCTCTGCAAGAGCAACAAGTGGTTTTAACCCCTGAACCATCTCTCCAGCCCCAGGCATCACTTTTCAAATAATTTTTCAAATATAAGAAAGTTGAAAATTGTAACTACTTCTTCAGAAGAATTCGTTGATAAAAGTAACTTACATTCCCTAATCTGTCAGTTTGGCATTTTGCAGTGTGTAATTAAATGAAATATCTGTGGTGGAGGAAAGGAAAGCAGTGCCGCCACCCTTTTGCCTTCCGGCCATCCCGTTACTCTCCTGTTCCAGCCTTCAGCTGAAAGGTCATGGGGATTGTGGCTGAGACGACAGTGTTCTTCTTTTCCATTCCTTGTCCCTTTTTTTCCTTCTTATTTGATTATCTGCATTAAGCCATGATATAATGGGTAAGAGCTCAGACTCGAGCCAGGCAAGTCCCTTTCCACCTGTGTGACTTAGGCAGGTTACTGGCTCTCTCTAAGGCAGTTCTCCTGTGTGCAAATCAACTGTAGTCTGCTATACAGAATTAGTGATAACATACTCACACTGCTATGTTACAGTTTTGTTAAACTGCCACTACATTTAGCAGTTTGCTGTATTTCTGAGGTTGGATGTCACTTGTTCAGGTTTATGAAGGTAAACTGGCTGACCAGTACTTCCAGAGAACTTTGCTGAAGAAAGTCTGGAAGAGCTGGCGTTCCGTGATACAAAGGCAGTGGAAAGAGGTGGTAGAACGGGCATGTCAGGCGAAGGCCGAAGAAGTCTGTGTCCAGATTTCCAGGGATTATGAAGTCAAACTTGCTATGGTAAACATCTTTTTATTTAATTTCCACTTTGGCTTAATAAAGTAAATGTATCCATTCACTATTAGTTTTAAACATATAGGCAAGAGTAAAAGTAAAATACAAAAATGTTTATCTTCATAATAATTTAAATAAACTATGTTCTTTTTTTTTGGCCTTTTTGAGACAAAGTCTCCCTATAGTCCCAACTATCTGCCTGCCTCTGTCTCCTGAGTGCTGGGATTAACAGCATGTACCACCACACTGGGCAGTAAACTATGTTCTTACATAAGGTTGATATAAAGCAAATGTTTGTAAACTATTATTGTCCCTCAGACTCTTAATAATGTAATTAACATTGTTTTCATGGGAAGTTATTTACATCCCAAAATGGGAAGGAAAAAAAAAAAGACATTCTGAATGCAAAAGTCCTCTTGAAATTAAATATTAGAAGGAAAAAAAGTCATTGTTGTAACACTAAATACTGAACATTAAAAATAAATTTCATATGTCTGGGGAGATAGTTCAGTTAGTAAAGTGCTTGCTTATAAGCAGAGAACCTGAGTTCAATTCTCAGAACCCATATTTTTAAAAAAAAGCTGGGCTCAGTGTTGTGTTCTTGCAATCCCAGTACTGGGAAGGCAGAGACAGGAGGATCCCTGGGGCTCACTGGCCAACCAGCCTCATTGAATTAGTGAGTCCCAGGCCAGTAAGAGACCGGTCTCTGTCTCAAAAAAAGAAAGTGGATTGCAACTGAGGAAGACACCTAAAGTTGACCTCTGGTCTGTACACACAAACAGACGTGTGCATACAAACATGAATTTCATAATATGCATAATTTTCTGGAATTCAAAATGACATGCAAAAAAGATGCATTCTTTTTAGGTTTGGTCCATGGGAAAGTAGGTTTCACCAAAATTCACTCTGTAATTTAAATTCAGAAGTTATATTAATATTACAGGCATTTAGTTAGTTTTTCCCTCCCAAAGGAATAAATGCATGGTTTAATATCCCACATAAAAGATTTATAGTTTTAAAAAAACAGCCAGCTGGACACAGTGGCACATACCTGTGATCCGAGTACTTGGGAGATGGAAACAGTCAAGGTTATCCTTAACAGTATCTTTCATGTGGCTCAAATAGTTTTCCTTTTTGTAATTCTTATTTCAGTTATCTAGCGCTTTGGAAAATGCAAAAGCTGAGATTCAAAGAATGCAACAAGAAAAAGAACACTTTGAAGATTCCATGAAGAAAGCCTTCATGAGGGGGGTATGTGCATTAAATCTCGAAGCCATGACCATATTTCAAAACAGAAATGATGCAGGTTAGTAATTTATTGAAGATTCTCTACCTAGGTTCAATAAAGAATATGAGGAGATTTCAAGTGTTAGGTCCAGCCTGCAGTCGTGTTGTTTTGCGGTGGATCTGTCTCTTCTCGAATTTACTCATTTGTGGTTTCATGGTGTCAAACTCAGCTTAAATCAACCATGAGAATTGGGTCAGTTGGCTCATCCATGGTTTCTGGTGCCTTAGAGCTGAGCGATGAGTCTCTCTCAGTTGTTAACCATTTAAGCTAAAGGTCAAGATGGTACCCTTTTTTTTCTTTTGGTGTGAGAGAGAAGATGGAGACAGAATACAGCTGTGTAACCCAGGCTGTCTTTGAACGCATGTCCTGCCTCAGCCTTCTGAGGGTTGGGGTTTCAGGTGTTCACCACCGTGCCCAGCCAAAATAGGTTTTTTTAAATTTCTATTTTATGTGTATGAGTGTTTTGCCTGCATATGTTTGTTTCATGCAGTGCCCACAAAGGCCAGAAGAGGGCATCAGATCCCCTAGAACTGGAGTTCTAGTTGGTTGTAAGCCACCAGATGGGTGCTGGGAATTGAACTCAGACCTTCTGCAAGAGCAGCCAGTGCTCTTAACCACTGAGCCATCTCTTCAGGACCCCAAAATAAAATGTTTTGAGCTCCTCTTAACTAGTAATTTTAATGTCTCTAAATATGAAATTTGTTTTCATTTTTGCCTAAGTTGCCAAATTCCTTGGATGATTTTGCTAGTTAAATATTTCTGACCTACTCATGGTTTTCTAATTTTAAAAATAATCTTCCAAGAGAAATCTTAAACTCATTTTCTAAACAGATAGAAATATAAACCTATCAGTAAAATAATTTTACTTTTTAAAAAGTCACGTATTGTCTGGGATCTCTGTGTAGTAGCTTTGTCCATATGGCTTAGAATCTGTGTAGTAGATTTTTCTGTGTGACTTAGAAGAACACATGACCAGGAAGGACCCTCTGCTACTGCTTCACAGTGGAGCCAATTCTCCTCCTTGGGTTTTGTATTCCTCCGAACAAGGCAGATGACATAAACTATACTTAGCAGCTGCAGAGAGGCTCATGAAGAGGCAGTGAAAGAGGCAAAAGTATTTGAAAGACAAAAGATACCTGTAAAATGATGTTAATTGCAGTTGTTTTAAGTCTGTCTCCCAAGTTCATGTAAGTACATGACCATTTCTCCAGTACTGCCCCATCTTAGCTTCAGTTTGGGGACTCAGTTTATCAGAAATGGTTTGGTTTTGTTTAATTACATTAATTGATTATTCTCCCATGGAAAAACTTCTCTGTGCTTGTCTTGCCTTCATTTTAAAGCATCAACAAGCATTCATTATTTAGGTCTTGCACATTATTAGGTGAAGGTGTTTGGGCAAATCTTTCTAGCAAAATTAGCCATGGTATGTGATCCATATACAATTTGGAAACTAGAAACTTAGAATTATAAAATTTCAAGGATAGTTTATCTTGATAATACCCAAATGATTTTGCCTGACAACAGTTGTTTTGCTTTTTATGATGCACTTTTAACAATTCAAGGTTCCTATTGCACTGCTTTTGTTAGAGCAAAACCAACTCTTGATTTTGTTTTTACAGTTGATTTTTTTTTTAATTTGTGTTGGTTCTTGCCAATCTATGTTCTTCAGTGAATCTTGTGTTATATACTAAATCCTACATCTTTTTTGAGGGAAGGAATGGACCCACACAGCACTCTGCCACTGAGCTGCATTCCCTGCCCCCTAAATATGTTTTTAAATTTTTTATTATATTTACTTACAGGGGGGCACAAGCATGAGCACATGTGCACAGGTCAGGTGACAGTCTGCAGGCGTTGGTTCTCTCCTTCCATCGTGTAGGTTACTGGAATAAAACTTGGGTAATCAGGCTTGGTGGCAAGCACCTTTCCCCTGAGCCATCTCACCTGTCCCCTTAAATCTAATAGATTGGAAATTAGAGCTTTTTATGAAGAAGACAGAACATGACAGTAAAAATTAAATCCTGTTTGAGAGTCAGCTCATTTGGAAGAGGGGTTTCATTTCATTACTTTGTTAGTATTTCAGTGCTGTGAAAACCTGTCTATGCTTTTCATGCCTTCATTCAAATCATCTTTAAAATGATAGTTGTCAGGTTTTCAAGCAATTTTAGGCACAGTTGAAAAGTGCTTTTACAACTAAAAAAAGTATGTGTCTTGGTTAAGTGAGATGAATCATTAAACTTAACAGGTGTCTATAAACAGGATCTTCATAAATCAGCTCATATTATCGAAAGTTGGTCGCCCGTCACAGCTTTGCACTGCTTTTACACTGCAGCGTCTCCTACCAAATTTTAGCCATCATATATTTATGTACTTATTTTAACTTGGACATCTGTTAATAGAATGCATTTATGACTGTAGGGATAGACCTCACGGATACGAAAAGGGAAGGGAGTGGCCCTGGTGGTTCAGGAAGAGAAGCTTCTGCTCATTTGGACCCGTCTTTGTCCACCATGCCTTCCGTGGTTCCTGTGCAGTTGCTGCCGTCCCCAGCCGTAGGCGGAGTGGCCAGCTCCACTGCAGTTCCTGTTTCCATGACTTCTGCTGGAGCTACATCTGCCTCTTCTGTTCACATTCCTGGCTCTGTCCTTGGTGCCGGATCTGCAGCTACTGCTGCCCCTGAAGAAATGGTTAGTAGTTTGTGCGCTTGTGTTTTGTTAAGGTGTTTTTGTGGGGGCGGGCACGGGTTGTGCTTTGTATTCATTTAGTCATTTGTTTGTGTGTGTGAGTGTGTGTGTGTGTGTGTGTGTGTGTGAAGTGCTGAGAATCAAACCCAGTCAAGTGCTCATAACCCAGCCCTATAAGTGGAATCCAAGGAATATGCCAAAAAATGTCAGTGCAATACTCAGGCTTTGTGACTGTAGGGGAAGACCTCACAGATACGAAAAGGGAAGTGGAAACCCACAGGAAATACTCAAGACAGAAAGTGGCTAGCACATTAATTTGTAGTGAAAAATAACCCAAAAGTTCTATTATAGCAGTGGTAGCTTAAAAAATTATTTTACATTTTTTAAACTTTTTAGGAAGAAAAAAAAAACAGGATTGGATAACAGACATTTTCTTAAAGACTGGTGTGTATTTTCAGTGGCTTTCTAGAAGCCTAGTATATATTTTCTATCCAGTTTTTTTCCTAGATGTAGGTCTGTCACTAATACTAGTAATTGATCTGTAGTAGGTTTTGCATTTTAATTCAGTCACTAAGCTTCACTTTATGGGAAGTGCTTAGAGGAGAGGATTAAGCATGGATGGAAAGTTTGTGACAAGTGTGTTTGAGGAAAGTGAAATTAATGAAGCTATTGACAAAATGCATCACAGCTATGACACAGGAGGGACAGAGTAGGGATGGGTATAAACAGACCTGCTCTGCCCTCTTCCCTGTCCAGTATTCTGTCACCAAAGACATGTAAAGTCTCATAAAGCTCCTGAAATAATTTTATTTCCCTTTTCTCCCTGACAAGGAAAAAGAAGATGGCGGAGTAGGTTTTTGGTTACTCTTTTTTTTTCTCATGTGTGCATGTGCGTGCATGCGTGCGTGTGTGTATACAGGGTCTAACTCTACCACAGATTGGCCTCAAACTTGCAGCAAGTTCCTCCTGCCTCGGCCTCTGTAGTGCTGGGATTACAGGTGTGAGCCATGGCACTCAGCTTGGTTTTGAGTCTTAAAGACTTTCTGGCATGTTCTCACAAGGCACCATTGCTCTGGACAGCTCTTCATAGTGAAGAGAGGCACTGAGTCAGCCAAACAGTTGGTCATATTGGTCTTCTAGCTTACTTGAATTTCTCCTTTTGAGAGCTACTAACTTTGGAGAAAAATATGTTGAAATCTGCTACTTATGTTTGCTCTTGCCTGCAGTTACATGCACACACACACTATATATA